AATTTCCATACAGTAAAATGCACATATTTTGAAAGTACAGTCTGAGTTTTGTAAACACCTATATCCTTGAATTATGTTCCCGCCGCCCCAGAGATTTCCCTCCTCCCTCTTTACTGCCTGTCGTTTCCCTTCTATATCCTGCTTCAAGCAACCACTGATCTGAATTCTGTCACTACAGATCAGCCTTGCGTGTTCTAGAACTTAACATACATGCTACGACCTCTTTTGTATTCGGCTTCTTTTGCTCAGAATATTGTCTCTGAGATTCTTCATGTTTCTTCCTTTTTGCTGCTGACTGATTCTATCCCCCACGTTTTCAAGCAACCTTTCTTCCGGACTGTGACTTTCTAACCATCAAGCTGAGGCCTCAGGGTAGTTTAGTATGGAAAGTTCTTGTGGCTTCTTAGGTCTGCCGCTTCATTACCTCAGTTTAGGTGATGCTCATTTTCTGTGTAGGCTGATGCCAGTCCCACCCCACCTTCCTTTTCCCTTTTCCTTCCGTATTGTAAGCAAAAGTGAGAAGGGAGCTGAGTACATTGTCCATCCCAGTGGGGCAGGCGTCCTCAAACTACGGCCTGTTGGCCACATGCGGCCCCCCTAGGACATTTATCCCACCTACCGGGTGTTTTTGCCACTGCTGCCTGTCCTGCTTAGCAGCCAACTCGTCCTGGGGCCTGTAGTCTGGCCCTCCAATCATCTGAGGGACAGTGAACTGGCCCCCTGTTTAAAAAGTTTGAGGACCCCTGTAGCGGGGAAGGCCATAATGGTCTTCTCCCACTCAGACAGGGGTTTGCCAAGTTTTACTGACACTCTGTAAGTTTATTCCTCACTCTCTTCCATCAAGAGCCTAGTTGGGTGTTGTATGACATAAAATTTATTTTTAACTGTTTCTATAGTAACAATTACACATAGAGGAAAAGGCTGAGAATTATAGAACCAAGATGACACAAGTGGCATATCAGAAATCAAATTCTAACAGATTCAAATCTTAAGATTTAAATGGAGTGGATTTAATAGCTGAAGTTCTTAACACACAGACTAACTCCAATGGGATCTAGCAATGGCCCTGAACAATGTATTTAAAACTCAAAAAACCCACAAATGAAGATAAAAACCAGAACTCCCCCCCCCCCCCACATTCGCTGACACGACCCTTCACAGGCACTTTTGGGTTTTTCCCAGGTTTTTCTGTTTCTGATAGTATTCCTATGCTATTTTTTCCTTGAGTTTTTCATTTTAGACTTTCTATATTGACTTTCAGCTGTGGAAGATGGAGATTTAGCCCCTTTGGATCTTCCTCCATCTCCTCCGTATGGCTGGACCCCAGTTTTGGTTAAGTAGAAACCGAGTGTTTTCCTTTTTCTGCCTACCTACACATTTGTGCAGTGTTGCTGCTGCTGCTGTTTCCCCTGGCGCTAAGGCGTGTTAACTCCCGTTACCGAGTGTTCCTTGTTGTCTGTCTTTTCTGTCGTCTCCCCCTTTCCTGGATTCCAGGTTTCTGTCTTTCTGTTTTTCTCCTCAGTCACTTGCTGAGATACAGCACCTAGGAAGGTTAGTTTTTGAGAGCTTGCATGTCTGGAAATGTCTTCATTCTTTCCTCATCCTTGATTCATAGTTTTTCTGGGAAATAATTCTCTCTCGGATTTTTGAAGTTTTTTGTTCCTTCATCTTGTAGCTGTTACTGTTGCTACTGAGAAAAGTCCCATGCCAGATGCCATTCTGATTCACGGGTCTTGGTACAAGTCCTGCTTTCCTTTTCTTTGAATCCTTTTAAGGATGTCTCTATACCTTTTGTTTTTACATGGCAGGATGCTGTGCCCTGGCTTGGGTCTTTTTGCAATTCATTTACTTGAGTACTTGGTGTGCCTTTTCAGTGCGAAAACTCTTATCTTTTGTTCTGAAAGATTTTCCGCTGTTATTTTACGAATGTTTTTCTCCTTCTCTCTCATTTTCCTTCCCCTGGAATTCCTGTTGGGTTAGTTTTGGGCCTCATGAGCCCATGCCCTGTTTTCTTTTGCCTTCTCTTCTTCTTCTTCTTTTTTTTTTTTTTTGTGTGTGTGTGTTTTTGTTTAGAGATTTCCTCAAGATACCTTCTGACTTTTCTATTGGATTTTTAAGTTTCTATTAGATTTTTAATTTCTAAGATTTGTTTTTTGTTTTTTTGAAGCTTCTATGGCATTATGTCCTTGTTTCATTGATGTAATAGTATCTCTTAATTTTCTTGAGGATATTAATTATAGTTTGAAATTTCTGCTTCCCGCATAGTTTGTGTCTCCCCCCACCCCATCCTTTTTGTTTTGATTCCTGTCATTCCATTCTGCAGGCTATTTTTTTTTTTTTTTAACTGAGACACAGTCTCACTCTGTCACCCTTGGTAGAGTGCTGTGGTGTCACAGCTCACAGCAACCTCAAACTCTTGGGCTCATGCGATTCTCTTGCCTCAGCTTCCCTGATAGGTGGGAATACAGTTGCCTGCCATAACACCTGGCTATGTGCGTGTGTGTCTGTCTGTATAGCAGGCCCAGGCTGGTTGGAACCCATCAGCCCTGGAGCATGTGGCTTGTGCCCTAACACTGAGCTACGAGCGCCCCCTGCAGGCTGTTCTTGAATGTCAGGTGATCCTTGGCTGGCCATTTGTGTGGAAGAGGAAGGCCCTGCAGAGGTGATTGGAAGCCTGGAGCATGTTTTGGAGCTGGTATACGATGGTTGTGGAGGGACTTAGCAGTTTTTCCCGTGAAAGCTCAAATGTCACTGTCTTTATAGGGCTTTTAAGGGGAAAGGCGCAAATCTCCTATGTTGGGGTTCAAAGTCAGGCTGCCAGTGTTATTGGAACCTAACAACTGGAGGAGAGTGGGGTGCTGGGGATTGTATGTATGAGGATCACACTGTTCTAACAGGCTGCACTTGGATTTCACGCTTCTGTTTCCTGTCCAGGGCCTCATGCCTTCTCCTGGACTGTGCCTGTTGTTGCCTGGCCCAGATCCTTTCTAATTCAGTCTCTCCAGATTTGGCCAATGCTGTGGGGTAGGGAATTATTAATACCTGTGTGTGCGGCTTGATGGAGGTCTGGAACTCAAACTATTCCAATGGAGAGTTTAATATTCACTCCACTCTGCTTATGATGCGAGATTACAAAGTCCTTTTTTAAAGACTTTGAATTTTAAATGTGAGAGAGTTTCATAGAAGTATGATTTAGGTGTTGTCCTGAAGTTGTATGAATGAATTAGGTGCTTTCTCAAGAAACCCTGTAATCTCATCTTTGCATTTTCCATATTTGTTAGAAAAATGTTGAAATTTAGTTTTGGTAATCACAGAAACTTAGCATCATCGGTGAGTATGTCACCACGACAGCAAATCATGTTGGCCAGGGGTGTCCAACCTGCGCCTGTGGGGTCCATGCCAATTTCATGAGGACTTTTGTTGCTTATCTGTGGTGTCAGATATGACGAAATGTATGCATAGACTTTTTTTTTTTTTTTTACTAATCAGCTTTCATTAGTGTTTGCATTATGTGTGGTCCAAGACAACAAGACAACTCTCGTTTCTCCAATGTATGGCAGAAAAAAATAAATTGGACACTCCTATATGTAGATGAAGAACATAGATGTTCAGTTGTCAAAAACATGCAGTCTTGGCTCGGTGCCTGTGGCTCAAGTGGCTAAGGCGCCAGCCACATACAACTAAGGTGGCGGGTTCGAATCCCCAGCCCGGGCCCGCCAAACAACAATGATGGCTGCAACCAAAAAATGGCCAGGCGTTGTGGCGGGCGCCTGTGGTCCCAGCTACTTGGGAGGCTGAGGCAGGAGACTCGCTTGAGCCCAGGAGTTGGAGGTTGCTGTGAGCGTGATGCCATGGCACTCTACCCAGGGGGATAGCTTGAGGGTCCGTCTCAAAAAAAATGCTGTCTTTCTGAGGTGATTGAAACGTCCTGTATATGGGTGATGGTTTGGAATCTACAAGGGAACGTATTTGCCAAACTTATCAGATAGTACACTTGAGATATAGTCATGTATAAATTTTACCTGAAACACAAACAGAAACAAAAGCTATAAACAACTATTAAGCTCTGATTTAAATAAAAAAAAAAATAAATGTTAGGACTGTCAAAAGTAGATGAAAACAGTTCCATGCATTATAAAAGGTCATGGTTTTTTTCATTTTTCCCTGTTGTAAAAAGTGAAAGTTTTGGGCAATGCCTGTGACTCAAAGGAATAGGGTGCCAGCCCCATATACCAGAGGGGGCGGGTTCAAACCCAGCCCCGGTCAAAAACTGCACAAAAAAAAAAAAAAAAAAAGTGAAATTTTTTAACTAGGGTAGAAAATACAAACTTAAGTCTTACCGTGTACCTTGTAACTGCCCTTCCCCATTCCTTTCCTCTTATTCATGTGTTGTACCCATTTTAATCACTAGACTGTGCAGATTTCTGGAAATGGTGGAGATTGTCTTATTTAATATCTAGTGTTCAGAACACAAGGCAAAAAATCTTTGGTTTGGCTTTTCATTTTGAAATTATCTCTGGATTTGCCTCCTTTTGTTTGGAAACTGGACTTATTTTTATTGTAGTCAGTTGAAATGAACACTCAGCTCATTGGTTGTAAACTTTAGCTGGAGTTCTAGAGCTAGAAGTTTGAGCCAAGTGACCCACCAGCTGAAAAGGAAGTTTTCAGGGACTATTGAGGAAGGAATAGTTGCATGGACTCTCTCTGATTATTCTCTTTTGAACTGTATTAACATTTCTATGGTACTTGATATTCAGAGTGCTTTATCCTTGGTAATTTCTTGTGTATACCCTTAGAGGTAGGGTAGGAGTAGTTTTCTCATTTAATGAAAGAGAAAGTATAGACATAGAGAATTGGATTAGAGTTTTGCAGGTACACCATTCAGGGGACTAAGTGGGAAAGGGAACTAGAAATACTTACATTCAGTATGATGGCTACCAGGTTGAATTTAGACTGGCAAGACCGTGGGCTGACTCTAGATTGACTCTGTTTTCTTGTAGGTAAAAGAGAACCTGCTTTCATGCAAGATGCTATTGCATTGCAAACGGGATGAGCTTCGGAAACTGTGGATCGAAGGAATTGAACATAAGCATGTCCTGAATTTGTTGGATGAAATTGAGAATATCAAGCAAGTACCTCAAAAGCTGGAGCAGTGCATGGCCAGCAAGCACTATCTCAGTGCCACCGACATGCTGGTAAGAGCACAGCCTGCACTAAGGGTCCTTTCTGCTAAGATGTAAGACCGCTCTCCTTTGTTCTCCCTGAATCCTGTGATGGATGGATCGTAGCACGTTACAAACTGCCTTGGGATTCACAGGCCCTTGCAGGTGAAGCCTGGCCAGTTCTCTTACTAATTCTAGTACTTGAAATGGTAGGTGGTAATTATTTATGTATTGTCTGCCTTTGGAACCATGAAAAGAAATGTTGTGGTAAGAAACCAGTTCTTCACTCATGCTGGAATGGTAACGACAGGTGTTTTTAGCTTTAGAGGAAGATAGTTAAAGAATTCCATTTTAAAGAATGAAATCTACAATGAGGAAGAACTTTTGAAGATTTATAAATGTAGTGTTGCACAAATTCTTTATAGGAATTTTACCTAAGTTTTTGTTTTTTTCTTAAATTGATGAGAAATTTTTTTTGAGAGTAATAACTGGAAGTAACTTCGTTAAGCAACATAGGCTCTCTCTGTCGTGTTCTGTCAGTTTTTAAATTAGTGAAAGTTCCCAGAAGATAGCAGTTGGTGGGGTATATGACTGAGTGCTAAGAAGAAGAATAAAAAGCAGAAATACAGAGTTTGGTCCCTAATAATCCTAACTTTCCCAGGGCCTGTGGCTGTTAGAGGAGGCTGCTCTCTCTTCCCTCCCCTCCACTCACAGAGAGTTGGCTGAGGATGTACAGAAACCCTCAGCAGCAGATGGGATGGTGTTTGCCCTCTATCTTTGTTTCACTGGTGAGACTGGCTTTAACTCTGGGAGAAACACCTGGGGGAATTGGTGGGGACGCAGATCAAATGTTCTAAGTGGTTCTAATTCATTCAGACTTCTAAGAAAAATTTTGCTAAAAGTCCTTCATAAGAAGCTTTCGAGAATATCTGGTAAGAAAGGAGTGAGAAGTCTGTCATCTGTTAAAACCTGGTTATGTGATAGGATGGCCACTCTTCACAGTGGAAGCTTAATAGTGCTCGACTCTTGGGAGTGGCAAAAGAATTGGTTATTTTCAGCATCTTATTCAAAATGATTTTTTTCCTTAATAATGACTGTCTGGTAGTAAAAATTGGTTACTTTTCAGCTTTAGTATTGGATTATGAGTTGCATATTTGTGCTAAATTATCAAGATTCAGCAGTCACAACTGACAAGTTTCTATATGTGTAGCATATACGTATCTATCTAAATCATGAGTTTTTTTTTAAGTGGGCTCATTTTTAATTTAGTGCTGCACCTTAAAATAGTTTGTTAGAATTCATTTCTGTGTAATTTATATTCATTTTGGGATTTTGGATTTTTGTTTTATGGTCTTTTGACGGAAGAGCTAATTTATTTACTAAAGGGCTAATCAATCATGAATACTCTCCCCCTTTCTTTGACCTATTTTTCTCCAGGACCTGATTAAACAACTTCTTTACGTTCTTGGTTCAAGTTAGAGAAATATAAAAATACCTGCTTGACCCACGTAACCAGTCTCCTAGCGGGCAGGGATGTATGTGGAATCCCCCCTGTGTGTTCTTTCTGCATGTCTTCATTGCTGTCTGGTGACTGGTCTCTTCTGCTTGTTGGTTTGGGTGTTGGAGGAGAGCATAGGTTGTCCTCTAAATCTTTTTTTTTTTTTGCCAGGGTTGGGTTTGAACCCACTACCTCTGACATATGGGGCCGGTACCCTACTCCTTGAGCCATAGGCGCCGCCCAGTTTTCCTCTAAATCTTTCCAGCTTTGCAGAAGCAAATGACTTTTTTTCCCAGTTCAAAAATGTAGAGTAGAGCCTAGATTGAGCAGTTGGGTACTATGCTCATCAGTTCTAACTAAACCCATGTAGCTGAGAGGTGAGGGGTGTGGAAGAAGAGCAGTTGCTCCAGAAGAGATTGTGTATGAGACATAGTTTCTAGAAGTTTCTTTCTTTTTTTCTTCTCTTTGTTTGAGGTTGTTTACATATTCTGGTTACTGATTCTTTTTCTGTTAGATGGATTACAAACATCTCCCAGTTAGTAGTTTATCCTTTTACTTTGTTTACTTGGTATAAAGAAATTTGAAATGCTAATGAAATAAAATTTTTCAGTTTTTTCCATTCATGTTGTGAGATTTTTGTTTTAAGAATTTTTTTTATCTCAATCTCATGAAGAGCCTCTCTTGTGTTTTCTTCTTTAGTACATTGAAAGTCCCGTTTTTAAAATATAGTATGAGCTGGGGATCTAATTTTATCTTCTGTATAGCTAATTGGCTTAAACTATTTACGGAAGCCTTTTACTAGTGATTTATAGTGCCATTTTGGTCACATATTAAGTTTTCACATATGCATGAATCTTTTTCCTGAGCTCTGTATTTTGTCCAATTGATCGCATCTGTTCCTATACCCAAACCATGTTGTTTTAATTACTATAACTTTATAATATATCTTAATAGGCAGTAAACATTTCTTCATTTTGCTATTTAAAATTGTGTATTATTTTTGGCCCCTTTCCCCAGAAATTTTAGTATTAACAAGTTCCATAAAAAAGTGTGGTGAAATTTTGATTGAATTTATGATCTCTGTCTTTGCAATATTGAGTCTCACTATTAGTGAACAGGATGTGCCTCTCATTTACTGAAATACTCATTTATGTCCTTTAATAATGCTTAGTCATATATTCCTTAGAGGTTTTACATCTATTTCGCTGGACTTATTGCAGGGTATCATGTATTTTTGGTTGCCTTTTAGAATAATAGCTCATTGTTAATTACAGTTTCTAGTTAATTTGTGACTGGTGGATAAGAATGTGATAGATATTTCTTTTTTAATTGACCATTATATTTTTCTGAACTGATTCCCAATGCTGTCTGTCTGGAAAATGATGACTTGTTCCTTGAGACTTGGCTCACATTTCATCAACACTCTGAATGTTCCAGACATTCAGATAGCTAGGTGATTTTCTTTGTTTCCATTAGCTTGTGTATTTCATTTTAATATAATTGCTTTTGTTTGTATGGTGGGTCACTGAGGGTGGGGTAGGGTGGTCATTGTGTCTTACCTTTTTTTATCTTTTTGGGTACCTAGCATAGTGCAGCTTCTATAGAGTTCACAGATCATTAGTCAAACGGGTGCCTGTGTGGAGGACTAACACAGTACATAGAGAAAAAGGGTCTTTTCTAGGAACTCTGTCTGGTTTTCCTCCTCTGATTAGTTTAAAAAATTATATTTTTTTTAATGCAAGGATCTCTAGTCTCTAGCCTTTTCTTCTTGTAATATTTACTTATGTATTTTTTTGAAACAGAGTCTCACTATGTTGCCCTCAGTAGAGTGCTGTGGCACCACGGCTCACAGCAACCTCAAACTCTTGGGCTTAAGCGATTCTCTTGCCTCAGCCTCCCTAGTAGCTGGGACTGTAGGTGCCTACCACATGCCTGGCTATTTTTTTGTTGCAGTTGTTTAACTGGCCTGGACTGGGTTCGAACCCGCCATCCTCGGTGTATGTGGCTGGCACCGTAACCACTGTGCTACGGGCGCTGAGCTGTCTTCTTGTAATTAAATGAACAACAGTTATAATAGTTGAAAATAGTCTTCAACTTGGTCTTCTGCATATGAGTGACAGTAAGTTCTATACTTGCTTGTTCATTGGACTTCATATGAAGAACAATATTTTCTTTCCTTACGGTTATATGCTATTTGAAGTAAAATCTAAGGCATCTTAAGGGTTCAAATGGAAGAAATCTTTGCTAAAAGACATCAGATGAAAGTGAAGACAAAAGAATCTAGTCTTTTAAACCCTCTTGATTTTCCTTGGGTTTGTTTGTGGATTGATTTTACATTTCCATTTGAAGGCATATGCAGATGGGTAGTAATTTAATCCCTACTCAGTAGAGATTAATACATCCAGAGTAAATAAATCAGTGGTGACCCACCGTTCTCCCCAGCTCTTGCTATTCCTACTTTACCATCAGATTGGTCCAGTAGTTATAGTCTTCGGATATTTATTTCTTCTTTTGATATGATAACCTGAGCATTGCATAAAATAATTAAATTGTCATGACAGGAAATGTCTGCAAATAGGACTGGCCTTTTGTTTCCTTCTTCAAGGTAAACAGCTGCCGTTGGCTTCTGAAAAGCTAAAAGTGATCCAACAAGAAGCCTGTAGCTGTCATGTTGAAATCAGAGACTTGATTAATATTGTAGCCTGTAGCTTGGTGATATGTGTGGTTTAAATTAGACCTTTGCAGTCATTGTGCTCGGTTGATGCAAGCACATTAATGACATAATTTCTGGTTGCTGCATCACATTTCTGCAGTCTGTCCTTTGTATTCCACTCACATTAATTGAAGTAATTTTGCCAGTGAAGCGTGTTTCAAACCTCTGCATTTAAATTGAAATTTTAATTCCCCTATTGTCTTGAAAAGACGGCTGAAGATGCCTTGTTACAGGTTTCATTATCACTCAAAACACTCCAGCTGCTGGTTCTAATGTACGTGGACTGATTAATTCTGGGAAGAATTATTAATATAAGAAGAGTAGTTTCTTCCAGTGGCATGAGCTAACCAGGAAGGTATTTCATGATAGTTAAGATTTTTATAAACTTTTTAAAAAGGAAAATTTGTGTAGAAGTCTGCATCAAGCTAAAATTGCACAGAGGAGCTTTGAAAACCACTTACACAAGTTCTGATTTATCAGTCCATAGAAGTCAATTCCTAATTGCGTTCAATCGGTAGAAACCAAGCCAGTGCGAGTGGTTTTGAAGCACTTTAGCTGACAGTCACAAGGCTTATGACTAAAATAATTTTTTCATTTCTAAGCCTTCCTGAGATTGTAGAGATTTTGAACGTCTCTTAATCATTTTGTCTGTCTCTATTTATATGTCTTTTTAAAAAGAATCCATAGCTGTATAGTCAGATAAGGATTATTATGATAGTTAATATAATAACTTAGATTTATGTAGCTATCTTCTTTCCAGAGGATCCCAGAGTGCTTTGCTGAGAGAATGGTATGGTGAAATTATTGTACTTATGCTGTGAG